CTCTGGGCAACCTGTTCCAGTGCTTCATCACAGTCCAGTTTGAGTTGCCACAACCCTGGAAATGTCCCACATCCTTGAAATTCTTCTTGGAGAAAATTTCAGGGTTGCTTGGTAGTCTGTACCAATCATAATAAAAAGCTGAAAAAAATCCCCTTATGAAGTCCCAAAGAATTAAAACTGAGTGTCCAGGGAGGATGATGGTATTTATTTCTACCAAGATGGAGCCTGTGGGGATTTCTGTAGATCCTCATTTTCAGGTAGAATAATTCCTAATGAGGTGTAGGACATATGATCAGGCACAACCTTCACAATAAAGAGAGCTCTCCTTGTTGGTTGTGCAAAGTTGTATCTCAGTCCAGGATGACTTTGTGTGAACTGTCAGCACTTTGGATCTGTTTCTACAAGCTGCGTGTTCCAACTATCTCTATTCCTACTGAAGGATTAGAGTCAAAAGGCATATGGAAGCACATAAAATGGAAGTTGACTACCTCATCAGCCTAAAAGCTCTTTGCAGGTCTTCCTTTTCCCTGGCATACTGACTACCTCTTCAACTATTGAATTCAGATACATTACAACAGGCTTCATTGTGAACAAGCTTTTCACCTGACTTCTGGTGAGACATTAATGTTGGGTCCTTCACCACAAGGTCTGCTTGCTGAGCTGCATGTACAACAAACCTATCTCACATTTGGATTCTTCAGTCTTGTCATTAGTGTGGGAACTGAACATGGTAGAGTGCAAATGTGACAAATTCTGCCATATCCATGTTGCAGACCACCTTGTTAGGAATTTGATTCCCTCTGCTTTCTTGGAGATTGGGGCATTTTTCCCCTGTAGGAAAGCTCTGAATGACATAGTTCTGACAGTATCCACTTTATTGGGTTTGTGTGACAAAGTTTAGGTAGTGGGGGGAACTACAGGGGTGGCTTTATTGAGAAGCTGCTGGAGGGTCCCCCTGTGTGTGACAGAGCCAATGCCAGCTGGCTCCAAGACAGACCTGCTGCTGGCCAAGGCTGAGCCCATCAAGTGACAGCAGTAGCACCTCTGGGATAACATGTTTGAGAAGAGGAAGGGGGAAAAACAGGGAAGAGGAAATTGCAGCCAAAGAGAGAGTGAGATGCAAAACAGCCCTGCAGACATCCAGGTCAGTGGAGAACGATGGGGAGGAGGTGCTCCAGGTGCTGGAGCAGAGATTCCCTGGCAGGCTGTGGTGCAGACCATGGAGGGTCAGGGGGGAGGGCAGAGACCCACCTGAAGCCCAGGGAGGACCCCATGTCAGAGCAGGGGGATGTCTACTGGAGACTGTGACCCACTGGGAAGCCCACACTGGAGCAGGCTCCTGGGAGGAGCTGTGGCCAGAGGACAAAGGCTGGAGCAGGCTGCTCCTGAAGGACTGCACCCTGTGGGAGGGACCCACACTGGAACAGTTCATGAAGAACTGTAGCCCATGGGAAGGACTCACGCTGGAGAAGTTTGGAGGCCTGTCTCCTGTAGGCATCTATATGCTATTCATTTTCTTGTATTGGGTGGTGTGTGACTCTGGTTTGGGACAAATAGTCAGCTGAGTAGCTGGAAAAAAAATCAAGTTAAAGAGTTTACTTTTGCATGAAAAGAGCTGGCCAGCAGTTAGACGTAGATTAGTTTAATTTAAAAATTCTTCTAGCTTTTCTCAGGATCACCACAGTGTCTTACAAAATGCTGAACAGTAATTCCCAAACAGAGATGGGCTTAATGGTGGAAAGATGAAGTAGCTAGTACTTTTGTGCAAAGTTGGCTGCAAAGTATTTTAACAAATGGAATATAGTCAGCCAAACTAGATTAGTGAGCTGAGAACTCTACCACTGAACTCTTTACAGCTCCATATGGATCTTTTGCCATCCATATGGAAATTTCTCAAGACTAATTCAAAGGCTCTTTGCTAAGATTGTCTAATGTGATAATGGAGCCTGACAGCTCAGCAATGAAATAGTGAGGATTTTGTAAGTAGCACTTGCCTTCCTTTCTAGTGGGAGTAAGTATGATAAATCCAATTCAATCAATCATTTGGCTGGACTTCAGATAGCAAACTGCAAGAGTTACATCAGTGTCTTTAAGAATGCAAATATAATTTTCTAGAATTTCATTTTATTGATATGTGGTATGTTTTGCCAGAATTTTATGTCTGTTACGCCACTTGGATTTTATAGCAAGATACGATGAGAGTCACCTATTTACCTGTGAGTGGTTCATTTTGTGGTTGCTCATCTTTATCATGCCTACCTCTTCCTAAGAAGGGTAAAAATGTATTTTACCAGATAGTTTTATACTTCTCTTTGGTTTTGGTGTGTGGGTTGTTATTACTTTTACGCAGGAGCATCTAATATGTCTTGAACTCACAGTTCTGAATACCTACCTTTTCTTAAAAGAAGATTTTTCTTAAGAACATACTGAATGACTGAAGAGGAACAATGTTCTATAAAGATCCAACTCATTAAATTTGCATCTTTTTTCCCATTTTGTTTACTGCAGGTACTTACTGTTTCTTAATAAATTGTCTCCTATACTAATCTCAGGCTCCACTGAAGTCAGTGTCCACACTTCTGCAGATTGCCTTAAAATTTGATTGCATTAAAAAGGATCAGAGGTGAATGTGATCGGCTAGGATTTGAAGAGATGGAGTACCTTGCAGGATGAATCTAACAACATCTTGTTTTTTATTTGAATCCTGGGGCCAAACTCCAGTGCAACTCAGTTGGATTGAAACTTCCTTTCTTCAATCTCTGTTAGACCCAGAAAACACATCATGGGACCCTAAGGTTACCATACCTTTGTTCATTTTGTTATCAGTCAGCAAATTTATTAGGAGTCAGTGAGATGCTTGGTGATAAGCAGACAAAAGGGCTGAGTCCAGCGTGAGTGCTACAGTGACTTGAGCTTGGGGTTTTGGAATGAAGCTTGGCCAGCACAGCACTTGCCATCAGTACTTTTCTTCATAGCTTTGCTATTCCTTTGGCACAAGTCCTTTGACGGAAGGTTACTGTAGGCAAATTATGTCACTGTAACAAATGGCTCTGGAAGGAAATGGCAGAGCTACTGTGTAACCTGAGTGAAGGTAATGAATGACCGGAGGAGTAATGGATAGCTCCTGAAGACTGGCTGATAGATGCCTATGTGAACAGTAATAAATACTGAATACAGGATATTTTATAGCATTGGAGACTAATGTAAAAGAGGGTACCTTCTTCCACTATTGACCTTTCTTGTCCAGTAGGAAAATAGAGGGTGGCATTTCTGCTTTGCCTTCAACTCTATCTCTGGAGCAATACTGCACCAAGACTGCATGAGGTGGGAGGACACAGTAGAAATTACATTACTGGCAGAAAAGACTTAACAAAGTGGTCAACAGTATGTCTTCAGCATCCTTGTCTGCATCAGATTTAGGTATAATGAGAACAAGGCATCTGACCTAGTCTGGATTTAACTTAAGTGAAGTCAGGATTAAAAAAAAAAAAAGCTCCATCTCCCTACTCTTAAGTTTTGAGAACGGCACAATTGAAAACACAGTTTGTTATTCATACTGTGGTGCAGAAGCTTAGGATTTAGCTACATTTTCAATAGCTGAAGTCAAGGTTTAAATAGCGCTAAAAGTTTTCTTGAGGCTTTCCAGGGTAATGCAATTACTGGGCAGGCAGACACTTTAAATTAAAGGAATATTGAATTATACCTTGTTGAGATGGACAGCTAAGAAAAACAAAATATTAATATTACAATCTTTTACAGTGTAAAAGAATGCGTATAGCTTTACTAGTGAAAAAGGCATATAGTTTCAAAAGTATGACTGGATTTTTCTTCTTGTATTCAGAATTCCTTATAGCAGAAGAAAAATATTAAACTCTTGCAGAAAAGTGGTTTTAACACCTCACTAGCAACAGTAGCAATTCTTGCAGCACTCTTAATATGCCATACCAAGGCTCTAGCTTTGATTTTAGCCCATTGTGTTTAAGCTCTAAATGCAGGACTGTTTTTTCTAAAATAGTTTCTGTTTTTCGGTTGCTTCTGTGTGGAAATGGAGTATCTCTGTTATACCATAAACATGCAAGAAAAATCTTTTTAGCTCAGGAGGGAAGGCTAGAAACTGATAACAGTGCTTAACTTCTTCCTGTCGCATGCAGTATTCCTTATATTTTATTAGTAGCATTCAGGCTAAAATAAGAATTAACTCCTTCTGGAAAATACGAAGAATTTTTGATCTGGGAGCGGTAATCTTGAAACGCTTCATCTGTTGTTTTGTTATCCAGCGCACAAGACCAACACCGTTTGAAAGTTTGGTAGAATGTTTGTGTGAAGATTAATAAGTGGCAAGCAAAACATCCCTTAGACTTTACACAGGCTGCAGAAAAGCCCAGAGCAAAGGTATAAAATGCAGTCCTTAAAATTTGTGAGCCCGGAGTGTGTTGTTCAGGGCGGTGGCGTTGCTGCTTTGGAGAGCTCCAGCGAAAGGCTGTTTTCCACAGCAGCTGAGCGCATACTGTGCAGTTCCTCCTGGCTTCTGGCAGCGGGCCAGTTGTCCTCCTGGTTTTGATGAATTCACAGTGTGAAGTGAAGGTTTAGTTACTAGAAGAGTTAGCTTACTTACTCTTGTGATCCTCAGTGGTAAAGCCTCCGAAGTTGAAGTTAACAGGGTCATTGCGGTCAGAGTGCCTCAAGGGCCGGAGGCTCCTTGATGGCCATGGGGGCTCCCCGCAGGGTCCATCAAGGCAGGTTCTGGCAGCTGGGCCAGGTTCTTTTCAGCTTGCTGAGGCTGAAATGGGGCCATGGTCAAGGTGGATGGAGCCCTGGGGGTCTGAAACAGGGTCCTGGCCTGTTGGCAGGGTGGGGGAGCCCTAGGCTGTGGGCGAGGACAGATAGGGCTGCAGTGCCTCAGGGCTCTGACAATAGATGTACTGGTGTCCTTGTGGTATGACAAACTTTACACAAAATAAATTGTTATAATTGCATTTTTCTGTATCTCTGACTCTAAGCGAGAAGCTTGTCATGAAACCCTGTATGTTCAGAGACCTGTGTCATATCCGTGTTTGTATTTTGCTTGCTGATAATCGTTACTTCTTCCAAGGCCTGTTCCCTGCCATTTTGAACCTGGCCAGCAATGCTCACATCTCCACCAATGCCACCTGCGGGGAGAAGGGACCGGAGATGTTCTGCAAGCTGGTGGAGCACGTCCCGGGACGGCCCCTGCGCAACGCACAGTGCCGTGTCTGCGACCACCACAGTGCCAATCCCAAAGGCAAGTTTCATGTGTTTGTTTTGGGGTTTTATGGGTTTGTCTCGTGATTTTTGACCCTTCCCCATGAATACAAGATGTCTTGTGTCAAATACTTTTTAACTTTTAGTCCCTTTACTACATGATGGAAACTACCTTTGACCAAAGGGCTGACAGAAGGCGTGAACACCTTAAATCACCGTTAAGCACTGCAGAGCCCAATGACAGACCTTTTGTCTGGGGGCAGATTCCAGCCTTTACTTTATGATGGGAGGAGGTTATGCTCAGTGTGAAATAGATGTGCCTGGACAGAGAAAATGCAGTGAGATGTATTTTTCAAGAGATGTTTAATTTTTTGCCTTAAAACAGAGCAGCACCCAATTTCCAGTGCAATTGATGGCACCAATAACTGGTGGCAAAGTCCCAGCATTCAGAATGGGAGGCAGTACCACTGGGTCACCATCACCTTGGATTTAAGGCAGGTGAGTAACATTTAGGTGAGAGTCATTTATTGTATGTAGAGCATAAACCAATGTAATTGATTGCAGTTCTGTGTTTAGATGGTAGGACATTTAGCAGTTAACCATTTAGAAGCAGATAGTGAAACATGAATAGTTAAAGCTAAGATGAGCTGATTTTAAACAGATATGTTTTCCAATTACTGTTCTAGAGCATATCTTGGAGGCTTCATTCCTATCAGGCTGGAGTGGAAGTGACTATGTAAGCATATAGGTCACAGGTTGTTGTAATTCATAGCACAGTAACAATTGTATATGCATGGAGGAGAGTGTTTACACAGACATTCCTTCTGTCTTGGTAACCTTCCTCTGCCTGACCCTGCTGGCTTTTCCCCAGCAGTTCTGTGATACTATTTTCTTCCACCTTTGATTTCATGCAAGTTACTTGAAGTGTGGGTTATCAAAGATGTGTTTTCAAGCAACAGTGTTTTCAGAGTATTGTCGTAAGTGCATATTTCATATATGAGGTTGCAACTTTATCTGTTTATTAACTAAAACTATCGGTGTGTCACCTGATCATCGTACAGTTTCTTAGTAAAAGAGTAAATGATTTGGAGTAGGACATAGTAGAAATATTTGACATTTTCTGTAAGAAAACAGGGTGCAATATACTTCCAAATATGAACTCTCATAGGTGTTGTAATTGAAATACTGAATTTCAGAGGAGGAGAAAAAGGTAAGTGACTAAAGGATTATTGTATTGGCATCAGTTCTCACAAATAGATCTCAACTCTTCTGTTTAAACTACTATTTTTGCATATTTACATGAAATATGTTAACCTGTTAATGCAACAGAATAGTCAGATTGAAGGGTAAAATGTCAGAAAGTTCAATTGCAGGATGTCCAGAATCCTGGAAACACAGACTTGCCTCAGTTGAGGGATATCCTTCAGGATTAGAAAGCAAAACATGCATAAAATGACCTTATAGCAGCCTTCAAATACCTGAAGGGGGCATGTAAGGAAGCTGGGAGGGGACTTTTCACAAGGGCTTGTAGTGATAGGACAAGGGGTAACAGGTTTAAATTGAAAGAGGGGAGGTTTAGATTAGATATCAGGAAGAAATTCTTCATGGAGGGGGTGGTGAGGCACTGGCACAGGTTGTCTAGGGAAGCTGTAGATGCCCCATCCCTGGAAGTGTTCAAGGCCAGGCTGGATGAGGCTTTGAGCAACCTGGTCTTAGTGGAAGGTGTCCCTGCCCACGGCAGGGGGGTTGGAACTAGATGATCTTTAAGGTACCTTCCAACCCAAACCATTCTATGATTCTATGATAAAATGGGGCAAAATTAGTCTTGCTTAAAGAAAAGTTGATTTACCACTTGCTGTGCTTTTCTGACTGATTCTGATCACCATCTTGTTGGAAGGATCATTGGGAAGAAATGTTCTGTATTATATCATCTATGAACTTTTGCTGTCAGTTGTTCTGAAGTGTTAGGGATTATATCTCTAAAACAGTAATTTCTGACCCTGGGGAGGCTGGAACTGTCTAGGCAGAAGTTGGTTGCTCTGGTTTGGCACTTTATGGCAAAGCTTGGAGGGATTCATCATTCTTAGGCAGGAGACTGCTAAGGTTTACAGAGCATTTGCTAATTTAACAGTTTGTCTGTTAGACATGGAAGAATCAGAAGTCTCCTACCTTGCTCCAAGAAAAGACAAATATTTTTTGCTTTTCTTGGCTTTTTGTTGCTGTTTTACTTTGAATAGATCTATGTGTTGGCTTATCTAAGCTGTTTGAAGATCATTGCTCAACAATCCATTATTACTATGGGGATGCTTCCAAACTCTGGAATAAGCTTTACTAAGAAATGTGTACTTCTAGTGTCCAGTTGGTAACAAGCTTTTTCCAAGATCTCTATGATAACTTTTAAGCAGGGTCTAAAGATTAAAATAGAAGGTTTAACTTCGATGTTTTAAAATGAAGCATAGGTTAAATGCCTAGCTTACTCTTAATTAGAAAGCAGAACTGTTAGGAAAATAATCACAGGGTATCTTTTGTCAGTGACAGAAGGTTTGGGTAGGAATTTCTTGTTGTTTGGAGAGTTGGCTTTGTGTTTGGTTTGTAAATGGACAAACAGGAAGGAAAAACGAAGGAGGAGGGAATGCCTGAGTTGTTATCCTCCTTGAACATTTTCACTTTGGAAACAGACCAGCAGAGCTGCTTTCTAAATCTTTTATTCTACAGCTTTAGTACTGTTGATGTTTCACAAATACATATCTTTCCTCTCCTGACCCACGCTCAGTTTCACTAATTCGATTTGAAAAGTTTCCCCCAAGGGGCCTTTCTTCTGTATTTCCCTTAGAGAATTAGACAGAGAAGGCATCTAGGGCTATGCAAACTGAATGTAAATTACTGCTCTGTGAGAAAGGATTTGGTTAATAGAGATCGGTCAAAGTCAATGAGTTATTAGAGCTGACTTGGTGCGCTTACTTTAAGCGAGTCAGCACTAGTGAAGACTAACAGAAGTGTATGAAGGACCTTAGTGATTTTAGTAACTGTTTACTTCATAAATTTGCCTGAAAATGAGTTAAAATACTCTTCTAGGGTGTTTAAAATATTCCTGAAAGTCAGTACCTGTAACTAAATGTGTTGCAGTATATCTTTAGCATTGGTACTATTTTTACATTTCAAGCTTTGTGCATTAAATCCATGAAGTAGTGTACTAAAGTCAATATGTCCTTTAACTTTCCTTGCCAGAAAACAAATATATTGAGACCCTTTTGTGATGTGAAGGATGACCATCTGGTCATTAGTTATGTTTTTCTGAGTAATTACCGTAGGCTCTAGTAGTAAGAGAAATGGATTGTTTCTTGGGATTGTTACCAATGTACAGTTTAGAGATATAATCTATCAGTGGGGTCAGGAAGTGCTGAAACACAGCTTTGGCTGGCAAAATGGGGAACATTACTTTTAGCTGGTGAAAACTGGGTCCCCTCCAGATTACTCTAGGTGAAGTTCTGGCCACATTCTGTGTCTTGTATTTGAGTGTATTCGTCTCCTGCCTCAAAGCTGAAGGGAGCAGAGGATATTCTTTCAGCTAATACTCTACTTTGCAATTAATTTATTTAGTCTAAAACCTGCTGGACTGAAGAGCAGATTGATGGAATCTTCTTAAGAAAAGGGGGCTGGGTAATAAAATCAGTATTGAAATTACTGTTTTGACCGTACTCCTTTGCAGTCTCTGTGCTATTTATAACTAATGCTAAGGCTTTTGCAAGTGTAGTCAGTGGGTAGGTCATGATTTTTTAGCTGACATGGATCATGGGAACTAGCTACATGTATTCAGGTGTGCCTTTCAGTCTTCCCAGGACCTAGATGTATGATAGTCTTTCCTTCCCCGCACCTTCCCGACCCCCCCTACCCTGGCCCCTTCCATTAAATGAATGGGAAAGATCAAGAGCTAAGGAAAGAGTAGTTTAGTGATGTGTGCTATTGATGTACAAGATACCAAGATTTGATTTATAACCTTGCGCTTCCTACACTGGCAATTTTACAGGAACAAAATGTGCAGCAGCAGTTTCAGGGAAAAATAGCATTTTTGCATGAGTTTGACTTCTCTGGACAGCTACTTTATGAAAGCACAATGAATTAAAATAAATAGTGACTATCATAAGTGTCAGCAGTGTGCTTGATCCAACTGTAAAATGTTTCTCTGTTACACCATTAAATGAAGAATATTTTCCTCAGTTTTATTACCATGCTTCACACTTTTAAAGGTATTTAAAAGTACTTTGTATTAGACATAGCACAAAGGCACAAGTTTCTGTATCACAAAGTTCTTGAATTGTAAAGCGAGACCAGTTGCTCCTGGGAGACCCAAAGTATCAAGTTGAGTAAACATCTCTACTTCTGATTAAGTCATATCTCATGAATATTTCATGAGTACTGGATTACCACTCAGAGGCTGATGTAAGACTAATTTGTAGTTTCTGTTGTAAGAAAGTAAAAAATAATGTAAATATTGTAATACAATTTACATAGAGCTTTTATCTTGAAATCAGTTGGCAAGAAGAGATTTCTGTGAGGGCAAATGCTTTGCTGATGTAAAAAGATATTATTCTGGTGACTTCACTGGACCAATGCTAATTTATTGTATGTGGCAAGCTTCATTAAAAGCCTTTTGTGGCTTTGTAAAAGTGATGATGCAAGATTCAGTGTGCTCATCTGTACATTCTTGCAATACACTTCTTGAATAGAAGAAAAGTTTATTTTACTCCAAACCAATGGTTGCACATAATGAATCAAAAACTTAGGGAATAGATAGCCATGGGAGGGGGGTTGGAACTAGATGACCTTTCAGGTCCCTTCTGACCTAAACCATACTGTGATTCAGGAAACTAGAAATTCTACTGGATTTAGTTTATTTTGGTCTTTTAACATGACAGACTCCTCAGAGTGTGTCTCAAGTCACAAGCAATTGCTAGGTCTTACAGTTTCTAATAAGAGCCTGGAGCCATTGTTATCTCTTAAAAAGGACATTTCTGTGAACAATATAGGCTGATTCTCAGAATATCCCTTCATGTAGTCCTCTGCTCTTTCAGAGTTTGCGTAGACTAATTTTAGACATTTTGGACAGTAAAATGAAATCTGAGGAGAAAGAGGCTTTTCTAGTAACCAGGTTTATATATGTTGAGAGCAGTGAACAGAATGGATCTTGCAGTCTCACTTAATGTGGATTAATGTTCGTAGTAATAAAACATTTTCACCACAGGACTTGTCATGCTATTTTGAAAAACTTCCTTGGCTGTTTTTTAGATTCCCTCTCTGCACTCATCCTGAAGGAAATATTTATCTGAATTTGTAAAACTAGGAAGAACCAGTCTGCCAAGAGCCTTGCATTCCTCCAGGCTTGCTAATTTTGCAGTTTTCTGCAACATACAGTTTAACGTATGCCTGTGTGATTTCAGTCAGGTTTGCAATAGAATGCTGAAAGTGATCCTGAGTTCCTAAAATCATCCTTTCATTTT